TCTTTATTGTATCTTGAGACGAGAGAGAGCCCAATATTACAAACAGCGTCATTTTATATGAAGATAGAATTATTAAGGAACCGATTTAACTATGGCCAATAATAGTTGGGCATGTCGCGTTGTATGTTAATAGCGTGTATTGATGTCAGCCTCTTTGTATTATTCATTCTTAGAGTATAGATTTATAATAATCTCATACGGCAAGATTAAGTATTTATAGGGTAAATACGACATGTTTACTAATCTGGTTATTCAAAGCTAGTTGAACAGCCGGTAGATACATGTGCCAGTTTACGCCTGTCCCGTTAGTGGCTTTAGCAAGTAGCTTTTTTACAGATTGAACATAGCGCTCACTTAGACCGTTTGCAGAAGGATGCAAAGGAGTAATGAAACGATGATCAATATCCATCGCATCAGACAATTCTTTCATAAGGGAATTAGAAAATTCTCGACCATTATCAGATTGCGATTTAGTCGGATATCCCAGTATGGAAAAAACGTCAATTAGCGCTGATACAATAGATGTACTTTGCTTATCAGGAAGTCCTTTGATGATACAAAATCTTGTGCATACATCAACTATCACCATGAAGTAATTTACGTGGAGCCTTTCACGGTTGTTATAGGACCACCAAGGTCAATAGCATAATGATCGCCAGGACAATAGCTGTAGATGGGTCTTAAAGGGTGATAACCTTTTTTCTGAATGTTATATCGTTGACATTCGTGACATTTTCTGATAAATTGAACAGCATCCGAGATTAAGTTGGGCCAGTGAATGCCTTCTGAATGCAATCGTTTTACCATTTGTTCTGCACCATAGTGACCAACTTTATGATGGCGTCAATGAGAAGATTCGCTCTTTCTGATTCAGGGGGAATTAAATAGTCAGGACATAATGTCTGTCCACTCTGAACATAAAGGATGGCCTTGGAAGCATTTTGTTCCATATTTCGGTCACTATAGGATTGTTTAATTTTGGATACTTTCTTTTTGTTCATAGTATTTGAAGTGGCAAAGTTTGAACGTCGCAGAGCAAGTTGGTCACGCTTTTTCATGTCCTTATCATGCTCATTGTCATCACGAGGAGGAAATAATCTTGATAACTTGTCGCTAATGATACTGTCGAGACCTTTAACATGAACAACAGTAAAATTATTGTGATATTTATCTGTTAATAAGTACTTATAATATACCTGAGTTATAACAAGGATAAAAAGACTATATGTCGATGAGACTCTTGAACCTCTTTATTGGTGAGAAAACAAGATGAGGAGCTCATTAATACAAAGTAAAGCTTGGTGTATAAAATAATAATTTACAATCCGACATGTTACAAATTAAATTAATAGAGGTACGTAATGCTAAATGTAGAATGACTGTAAACAGTATAGTAATGGAGCAATCTCACACGAAGATTAGTTAGTAATGGAAGGATAAATACGACAATTACAGTGACTCAAAAAATTGCTCACATGTTTGTGTATTTTCACTTTAACGAATCATCAAGGAACACTAATTACTTATATATCTGGCATGTTATATATCAAATGAAAGCGTAGGTTATTGACTACCGAATGGTGTATGACATGTACCATTAGCATGCCGTCGGAGGTAGAAACAAGTGTTTAAAAATAAAAATTTATGTGAGCAATTGTTTGAGTGGGTTGAGAAAAAATAAAACATATTTATTTAATATTTTGTTTCGCCTCCTTTTGCTTTTATTACAGCTTATATGCGTTCTGGCATGGAGTTAATATAACTTAGGCATATATCCTTGTCAATTTTGTTGTTCCATATATGCTCTACACGCTCCCAAAGTTCCAACGTACCCTTAGGCGGCTCATCATACTTAGCAAGTTCACATTTGACGAAATACCACATGTTTTCGATTAGATTTAGGCCAGGAGAGTATGCTGGCCAGTCTATAATCTTAACTTCATTGCGCTTAAGCCATTCCTGTGCCATTTTGGACCGATGCTTTGGATCATTGCCGTGTAATAGGTAGATATGATTCTTACTGATCTGATAATACTCCAGTGTGCCTAGCAAATCCTCCTCCAGAATTTGGCAGTAAAGAACTGCATCAAGGCCACCATCAATTTTGACTAAGTTGCCGGGCCCTTCAGCTGTTATACAACCCCAGAGAAAGATACTGCCGCCACCATGCTTGTGAACTTGGTTTACGTTATGGCCTTGTAGGGCAGCTCCTTCTTGTACCCATGTCCACTG